AGCATTTACATTTAAGCAAATGCGCTTTCGTCTTTATAGAATAAGCTGACCAATATCGATCGATTTGTGCGTTCGTTTAAGGAATCAGACTTTGCTGAGATCAGCGGGGGAGCCCCTCATGTTCTGGTTGCAACGATATTTGACAAGGAACCCTGTCTCGAAATGTTGTCAATAATGTTATTTTTTATATTTCACATATTGCAGTGAGTAACAATTTTGTTACCGTTTTGTGGGGGAGTTTATCAAACATCTCACACTAGTACTTTACCATGTCACACCAAGTTTTATATGCGCCGTCTATGTTAGACTGGGTCAGTGCTGTGTGTATTTCTCATAACGAATCATGTGTGTATTATTGACAAATTTAGGGTGTTCGTTGTGACGTGTAGATCATACAGCCACGTGAAAAGAATTACAACCCTGGTGTTCTAACAATGCCTTGGTGGTCTAACCATGAATGAGCGGTTTCTCTAGGCTCAGTGTAATCCATTAGTGAGTGAGTATGGTTTTACGCCGATTTTAGCAATATTCCAGCAATATCACGACGGGGGACACCAGAAATGGGCTTCACACATTGTACCCATGTCGGGAATCGAACCCGGATCTTCGGCGTGACGAGCGGACGCTTTAACCACTAGGCTACCCGACCGCCCCTGTAATCCATGCAGTCACTGACACTTATAATCTGGTTGGAGACTATCACTGAGCCTAGGGTGTTTTGGATGGGACAACTTGAGAACAACAATAAAGAGATTAATAGCAATGTATTTATTCTAATAAGTAGTAATGGGATAAGATTAATTAAAGTTTTTTCTATTAAGAAATGTAACTGAACTAAGGTAGTTTGATAATATTGATATTTATATCAGATAACAGATTCAGACGCTTAGTAATGGGATAAGATTAATTACAGTGTTTTCAATTAAGAAATGTAACTGAACTAAGGTAGTTTAAAAATATTTATATTTATATCAGATAACAGATTCAGACGCTTAGTAATGGGATAAGATTAATTACAGTGTTTTCAATCAAGAAATGTAACTGAACTAAGGTAGTTTGAAAATATTGATATTTATAGCAGATAACAGATTCAGACGCTTAGTCATGGGATAAGATTAATTACAGTTTTTTCAATTAAGAACCGTTAGTGAATTAAGTAACTTAAACCGCGGAGAGGTATAGGTGGAAGTACGGATGAACATAGCTAAGATTTGGAGTGTGGAATTTTGCAAGTAGAGCACTTGTTTTGAAGATTTGAAACGTTTATATTATGCCAATGAAGGACACAGAACCAACATCAACACTGGAGGTTGGCACAAGAAGAATAATTCCCTGACCACCTGTCATAATATCTGACCATACCTGGTCTATCTGTTTTTAAGGAAATAGACGAAGCAGGTTCATGCTTATGGCCCAGACTAATTAACAATCTACAACTAATTAAAGTAATTAGCGTGTGTTGTTTGATCTGAGATGGATTATGTTATTTCAGTCAGTTCACGAAATGGCTGAAAGGTTTAGTCACTGATGTCTTTTACGGTCTGACTGTATCATGTTTACTGCTGAGCGATAGCTATTTCTTCGAGGGAATGCTTCTTCTGGGCATCGATAAATATGATAAACATGATACATAAACCGGGATAATTTCTGTTAGAGTATACTTTTAGCACTTGTTAACAAGGAGGCAAATTTGATGCAGTCTGGATCACCATAACAGTAACTGGTAGATGCTTTTGTCACACAAGAGTGAGTGAGTATGGTTTTGCGCCGCTTTTAGCAATATTCCAGCAATATCATGGCGGGGGACACCAGAAATGGGCTTCACACATTGTACCCATGTCGGGATTCGAACCCGGGTCTTCGGCGTGACGAGCTAATGCTTTAACCACTAGGCTACCCGACCGCCCCTTGTCACACAAGAAGAAAAGAAACGCAGCCGTGATGAATTCAACACTCACTGAATACCGTTTTGTATCCCATTAGCGACTTATTAATATACCTTGAATAGAAGAGGGAATAAGGTAACCGTCGTCATATAGCTGGAATATTGCTGAGTGCAGCGTTAAACAAAAAACAGATATTTAAACATGTAGACTAACTGTTTCCTTTTTGAAAAAAGGTCGATTACAAAAATATAACCACCAACACTATTCCTATTTAAATAATCTAATACATAGCTATGTATACAGTCTCGCACAAAGAAAATGAGTGATTATGGTTTTATGCCGATTTTATCAAAATAACGGTGGGGGACATTAAAAATTGTACCCACATGGGGAATCGAACCCGGACCTTCGACATGTCGAGCTAACGCTTTACCCGATTTGAGCTACTTCCCTCTATACCCTCTCTTCCATCGCGGATTATTAAGACTTCGATGATCTTATTACTTTGTTATTGTCGCTACATTTAGCGTGACATTTAAATAGATTGATGTCTCCATTTCAGAAGCATAAGTAATTACTGTAAATGTGTTCGATTTTCTCCTAGCCTCAGTTTCCAACCTGTGTGAACTTCAGCTGACTATGTAAGGTATGTCCTGAATTTGCCAACAGTAACACAAGCTTAAAACTCTAAGCAAATAATGGTTACACTCAGACAGAAAAGAGCAGTAGACATGCTTGCCCTTTTCGTGAACACCTGCTGTCTTCATTTATTTGCAGTGATCCTTTCATATTATTTTCACCGCTATTTTTCCTTACAGGCACAATGAAATCTGTTTCGTTGGGTGATTGAGACAGTCAAGCTTCATGTTTTTTCTTTTAAAATAAGTGACACCCAAATACAAATAAAAGCGACATTTCAATCATCATACTAACTTTCTCCACTAATATCAAATTCCATTGTAAGATTCTCACTCTATCATGTGCATGTGTTTATTATCACTATCAAATAGCCATGATACCAGGCGTTCACGAAAGGTGAGCATATCCTGCTCCACCGGTGGCCCCGTCATAAATACATGCAAAGGCAAGACAATTGTTCACCTTGAAAAATGGGAAAGTATGGATCATGGTACAACCCATATTTCTATATGGCTCGGAGGTTTGGGATGTACAAAGACTTGAAAAATAGAAAAATAGAAAAGGAGATTTGATGGCAGCTAAACATAAAACGTCAACGCCAGACAATAACCAGTCTCGATTATCTGCGTTGGGCGCAAAAGGCAAAAGAGCCGTGTAATTTATAAGAATGGATCACTGAAAATCAGTGTTGAGACTAAGTGTTCGCGACAAGAGTAAGCTCGTCCTGACCCAGTATATGTCAACTAGAGACATGTCTCCAGACACTAATGCTACAGTTAATGGTGAAAGTGAAACATATAAGCTTTATATACGTTCTTTGTGATAAGCGTTACAATCTTGGTTGAAACTTATTGAAATACGCGAAGGTCTTATTCCAAGAAAGGTATACACTATCTTCATGTAGTATGTACCACGACAATCTCTGTTATAACAATTGTATTCTCATACAAATCATCTGTTGTTCGGGTTTGGGATATATTTCAAATTGAAAGGGGCGAAAACTACCTCCCGTCAAGCATTGAAGAATATAGCTATCAATAGGTTTTCAAGACTTGGAACCGTACAAAGCAAAGTAGCTTAAGATATAGTTGACATAAACAATTCTATAGTTTATTGGGACCTATTCTATAGTTTGAAACATACTAGTTAGATTTTTTCAGTCAAAGTTGAAGATAAATGAGAGGAGATGGCTGAACATTGATCTGTCATTACGATTTTGATCTGGATAAGAATATGAATATAATTTCTTATTAATGCATGCATACTTTAATAATTTAAGACTACATTGTGTCCTCAATACACTATGACAATGTCCTGATTAATGATTAACCTCCATAAACTTTTGACAAATATAACTATCCCGAAATATGTGTATAAGAAACTATTCAAAATTATTGTGTATCAACTACTTACCTATTACAGTAAGATATATGGCTGTTCCGAGGTAGCCAGCCGATGTCAAAGGGCGAATTTTGTTCTCCAAAACCAGTCTGTCCCATTCAGAAATGTTCATCGAATAATTCATTTCGCTGCTGTTTTGATGACCAGCAACTTCGCAGCCAGTGCACGCGCATCCATCATGTATAACCATTGGTGCCAGGGGATATACCACACTCATGTAACAGGTTTAGTAATAAAGTCAGCACGATGCTTGCGAGCCTTTAAATGTAAAGAAAACGTCATGCTCATTACCTTACGTTTCCAAGATGAAATAAAGGTGCGTCAAGCTTCAGTCTGATAATGAGGTATATGTAGGTTCTGTTCACCGCTAATACAGACAGATAATGACAGCATTTACGTTTAAGCAAATGCGCTTTCGTCTTTATAGAATAAGCTGACCAATATCGATCGATTTGTGCGTTCGTTTAAGGAATCAGACTTTGATGAGATCAGCGGGGGAGCCCCTCATGTTCTGGTTGCAACGATATTTGACAAGGAACCCTGTCTCGAAAAGAAAAGAACACAATACGAATTTATTAATGGCATGAGTATTTATACTTTCGTCTCGGAAGTCAGACATATGGGAGGTAGGTTGTTGATCTGGCAGACCTGGTGACCAAAGTCAAGTGATGTGTGAGGAAAGATCTAACGATTAACTGCTTTTTCAATGAATTCTTGGGGTGTGTGCAGTGGGGTGAGGCTTGAGATGTGGGAAGGGGTGTGTGGAGGGGCGTAGTTGTGATGGCAGTGGTGGTGGGATGGGGTGTGGTAGTGGTGGTGGTGGGATGGCAGTGGTGGTGGGATGGGGTGTGGTGGTGGGGGTGGTTGTGATGGCAGTTGTGGTGGGATGGGTGTGGTAGTGGTGGTGGTTGTGATGGCAGCGGTGGTGGGATGGGGTGTGGTAGTGGTGGTGGTTGTGATGGCAGTGGTGGTGGGATGGGTGGGGCAGTGGTGGTGGTTGTGATGGCAGTGTTGGCGGGATGGGTTGTGGTAGTGGTGGTGGGATGGCAGTGGTGGTGGGATGGGGTGTGGTGGTGGGGGTGGTTGTGATGGCAGTTGTGGTGGGATGGGTGTGGTAGTGGTGGTGGTTGTGATGGCAGCGGTGGTGGGATGGGGTGTGGTAGTGGTGGTGGTTGAGATGGCAGTGGTGGTGGGATGGGTGTGGCAGTGGTGGTGGGATGGGGTGTGGTGGTGGTGGTGGTGGTGGTGGTGGTGGTGGGATGGGTGTGGTGGTGGTGGTGGTGGTGGTGGTAGTGGTGGGATGGGTGTGGTGGTGGTGGTGGGATGGGTGTGGTGGTGGTGGTTGTGATGGCAGTGGTGGCGGGATGGGTTGTGGTAGTGGTGGTGGGATGGCAGTGGTGGTGGGATGGGGTGTGGTGGTGGGGGTGGTTGTGATGGCAGTTGTGGTGGGATGGGTGTGGTAGTGGTGGTGGTTGTGATGGCAGCGGTGGTGGGATGGGGTGTGGTAGTGGTGGTGGTTGTGATGGCAGTGGTGGTGGGATGGGTGGGGCAGTGGTGGTGGTTGTGATGGCAGTGTTGGCGGGATGGGTTGTGGTAGTGGTGGTGGGATGGCAGTGGTGGTGGGATGGGGTGTGGTGGTGGGGGTGGTTGTGATGGCAGTTGTGGTGGGATGGGTGTGGTAGTGGTGGTGGTTGTGATGGCAGCGGTGGTGGGATGGGGTGTGGTAGTGGTGGTGGTTGAGATGGCAGTGGTGGTGGGATGGGTGTGGCAGTGGTGGTGGGATGGGGTGTGGTGGTGGTGGTGGTGGTGGTGGTGGTGGTGGGATGGGTGTGGTGGTGGTGGTGGTGGTGGTGGTGGTGGTGGGATGGGTGTGGTGGTGGTGGTGGGATGGGTGTGGTGGTGGTGGTGGTGGTGGCAGTGGTGGTGGGATGGGTGTGGTGGTGGTGGTGGGATGGGGTGTGGTGGTGGTGGGATGGGTGTGGTGGTGGTGGTGGTGGTGGCAGTGGTGGTGGGATGGGTGTGGTGGTGGTGGTGGTGGTGGCAGTGGTGGTGGGATGGGTGTGGTGGTGGTGGTGGTGGTTGTGGTGGTGGGATGGGTGTGGTGGTGGTGGTGGTGATGGCAGTGGTTGTGGGATGGGTGTGGTGGTGGTGGTGGTTGTGATGGCAGTGGTTGTGGGATGGGTGTGGTGGTGGTGGTGGTTGTGATAGCAGCGGTGGTGGGATGGGGTGTGGTGGTGGTGGTGGTTGTGATGGCAGTGCCAGTGGGATGGGGTGTGGTAGTGGTGGTGGTTGTGATGGCAGCGGTGGTGGGATGGGGTGTGGTAGTGGTGGTGGTTGTGATGGCAGTGGTGGTGGGATGGGGTGTGGTTGTGGTGGTGGTTGTGATGGCAGCGGTGGTGGGATGGGGTGTGGTGGTGGTTGTGATGGCAGCGGTGGTGGGATGGGGTGTGGTGGTGGTGGTGGTTGTTGTGGCAGCGGTTGTGTGGTGTGGTAGTGGTGGTGGTTGTGATGGCAGTGGTGATGGGATGGGGTGTGGTGGTGGTTGTGATGGCAGCGGTGGTGGGATGGGGTGTGGTTGTGGTGGTGGTTGTGATGGCAGCGGTGATGGGATGGGGTGTGGTGGTGGTTGTGATGGCAGCGGTGGTGGGATGGGGTGTGGTGGTGGTGGTGGTTGTTGTGGCAGCGGTTGTGTGGTGTGGTAGTGGTGGTGGTTGTGATGGCAGTGGTGGTGGGATGGGGTGTGGCAGTGGTGGTGGCTGTTGTGGCAGCGGTTGTGTGGTGTGGTAGTGGCGGTGGTTGTGATGGCAGTGGTGGTGGGATGGGGTGTGGTGGTGGTGGTTGTGATGGCAGTGGGGGGTGATGGGGTGTGGCAGTGGTGGTGGGATGGGGTGTGGCAGTGGTGGTGGCTGTTGTGGCAGCGGTTGTGTGGTGTGGTAGTGTTGGTGGTTGTGATGGCAGCGGTGGTGGGATGGGGTGTGGTGGTGGTGGTTGTGATGGCAGTGGTGGTGGTTGTGATGGCAGTGGTGTTGGGATAGGTGTGGCAGTGGTGGTGGTTGTGATGGCAGTGGTGTTGGCATAGGTGTGGCAGTGGTGGTGGTGGTTGTGATGGCAGTGGTGGTGGTTGTGATGGCAGTGGTGTTGGGATAGGTGTGGCAGTGGTGCTGGTGGTTGGGATGGCAGTGGTGTTGGGATAGGTGTGGCAGTGGTGGTGGTGGTTGTGATGGCAGTGGTGGTGGTTGTGATGGCAGTGGTGTTGGGATAGGTGTGGTGGTGGTGGTGGTTGTGATGGCAGCCCTAGTCGTGATGGAGTGTGGTGGTGGTGGTGGTGATGGCAGTGGTGGTGGGATGGGTGTGGTGGTGGTGGTGGTGGTGATGGTTGTGATGGCAGCCCTAGTCGTGATGGAGTGTGGTGGTGGTGGTTGTGATGGCAGCCCTAGTCGTGATGGAGTGTGGTGGTGGTGGTGGTGATGGTTGTGATGGCAGTGGTGGTGGTGGGATGGGGTGTGGTAGTGGTGGTGGTTGTGATGGCAGTGGTAGTGGGATGGGTGTGGTAGTGGTGGTGGTTGTGATGGCAGCGGTGGTGGGATGGGGTGTGGTGGTGGTGGTGGTTGTGATGGCAGTGGTGGTGGGATGGGGTGTGGTTGTGGTGGTGGTTGTGATGGCAGTGGGGGAGGGGTGTGTGTGTGGTTGTGGTGGGTGGAGGGGGTGTGGGGGTGGTGGTGGTGGGATGGGGTGTGGTGGTGGTGGTGGTTGTGATGGCAGTGGTAGTGGGATGGGGTGTGGTTGTGGTGGTGGTTGTGATGGCAGTGGTGGTGGGATGGGTGTGGTGGTGGTGGTGGTTTTGATGGCAGCGGTGGTGTGGTGTGGCAGTGGTGGTGGTTTTGATGGCAGTGGTGGTGGGATGGGTGTGGTGGTGGTTGTGATGGCAGTGGTGGTGGGATGGGTGTGGTGGTGGTTTTGATGGCAGTGGTGGTGTGGTGTGGTGGTGGTGGTGGTTGTGATGGCAGTGGTAGTGGGATGGGGTGTGGCAGTGGTGGTGGTTTTGATGGCAGCGGTGGTAGGATGGGTGTGGTGGTGGTTGTGATGGCAGTGGTGGTGGGATGGGTGTGGTGGTGGTTTTGATGGCAGTGGTGGTGTGGTGTGGTGGTGGTGGTGGTTGTGATGGCAGTGGTGGTGTGGTGTGGTAGTGGTTGTGGTTGGGATGGCAGTGGTGGTGGGATGGGTGTGGTGGTGGTTGTGATGGCAGTGGTGGTGGGATGGGGTATGGTAGTGGTGGTGGTGGTGATGGCAGTGGTGGTGGGATGGGTGTGGTGGTGGTGGTGGTGGTGGTGGTGGTTGTGATGGCAGTGGTGGTGGGATGGGTGTGCTGGTGGTTGTGATGGCAGCGGTGGTGTGGTGTGGTAGTGGTTGTGGTTGGGATGGCAGTGGTGGTGGGATGGGAGTGGCAGCGGTGGTAGGATGGGTGTGGTGGTGGTGGTGGTGGTGGTTTTGATGGCAGTGGTGGTGGGATGGGTGTGGTGGTGGTGGTGGTTGTGATGGCAGTGGTGGTGGGATGGGGTGTGGTGGTGGTGGTGGTGGTGATGGCAGTGGTGGTGGGATGGGTGTGGTTGTGGTGGTGGTGGTGGTGATGGCAGTGGTGGTGGGATGGGTGTGGTGGTGGTGGTGGTGGTGGTGATGGCAGTGGTGGCGGGATGGGTGTGGTGGTGGGGGTGGTTGTGATGGCAGTGGTGGTGGGATGGGGTGTGGTAGTGGTGGTGGTTGTGATGGCAGTGGTGGTGGTTGTGATGGTAGTGGTGGTGGTGGTGATGGCAGTGGTGGTGGGATGGGTGTGGTGGTGGTGGTGGTGATGGCAGTGGTGGTGGGATGGGTGTGGTGGTGGTGGTGGTGGTGGTGATGGCAGTGGTGGTGGGATGGGTGTGGCAGTGGTTGTGATGGCAGTGGGGGAGGGGTGTGTGTGTGGTTGTGGTGGGTGGAGGGGGTGTGGGGGTGTTGGGGGCCTGGGGTGGAGGTGGGCCGCTTGGTGGGCTGTGTTTCATGCTGAATCCTAACTGAAAACTAGGATCATGTCATATGTCTTCGGATGAGTATATAAAAGATTACATGCAATATACACGTATTTCCAATATGCAGGCTCCTTTGCATTTATAGCTGCATGCAGATATATGTAAAAAAAAACACCCATAATTTAAACTGGTTAGAACAAGCTGGATTTTCGGTGGGCCATTCAGATAATATTCACCACTTTTGGTCCTCTACAAACGCCCAATGGAATCTGTTTCGGTAGATAATCGTGACTGGTTATCCTCTAGCATTGACGTTTTGCATTTTCAAGACATTTAATACATATATAATGGCATTTTATTTTAGCGCAAATTAGGCGATTTTTAGATTTTGTGTCCGCCTCTTTCAGTAATCGTGCTTAGCTTGTCACTGCAACAACGTACTCCGATCAGGGAATTATCCAATGATGTTCGTGAGTACTGTCGTCCTCCACACTAGGGTACTTCTTGAAAATCGCACTTTGAAATTTTAATCATTTCTGTGAGTAATATTTTTTACCGTCGGAATGGCTTGTTTTCACTTGATAAGTATTAGCACACATACAGCTATCGTTATTTAGAAACCATCGCGATATTTTTTTAATTCTATTTCAAGTAGCGAGGACTATAGAATATGATGCTTTTAACAGTGATACAAAAATAATTAAATAAAGATGCTTTCATTTAGTATCAGGTGACAATTAAGGTGACGTGTTACTCTCTTCCAGACATGAGTAATATGTATATTATTGTATATTAATAGCATATATTAAACACAGTAATTGTATATTAATAAAACTATTATATATGATAAGTATTTTTAATAGCATTCAATGGCAACGACTGTGTACTGTAAGTTGATGTGTAAACTTATATGTGAATAAACAAGAAGAGTGAACTTCTAAAGAAACCTTTTATTTGAGGTAAGTATGTTCATCCATGGACACGGGCTTCTGGCTGTTGGTCATGCGCGGTGCAAGGGAGGTAACCCTAGCTATTGCTGATTACCGTTATCTAGGATATAACTCTACATCCTAAAAAAAACCGAATCATTTTTAAAGATGTTTAACTGGTTAAAAAAAAGGTTTATTACGCCCAAAACACCGCCCTTATTGACAAACACATCTTATCATCCGCACGTACAGTAGGTATAGGGGCCTTGTAGTAAGTTAAACAGTAGTAGTAGTACAGTTCGCAGTTAAACAGACCAAGTGATTCGCTTTCTGACCAACAACTTGCTTGAATGCTGATCTACAAAGTGTTTTCGCTACGTGATAAAAGAAACAGTTTTCTCAGTCGCTTATTTTTTTAAATTATATGCAATTATGTTGGGGTATATTTACATTTCGCAAATTTTCTGAAAACACTTAGTCTTTGTTTTCAAAGGCAAATTATGAGGGTAAACTGTGCAAATAAAATGCGGATATTATGTGTTTATTTATGTCAAACTTTCCGGCAAGAAGGTTCGCCAGCTCCGCAAGTTTTTGTTAACAAGTACTCATTTTTTTTCTGGACCGCCTCCGTGGTATAGTGGTAGAGCGTCCGCCCGGAGTGCGAAAATTCCGGGGTTGAATCCCCGGCCGCGTCATACCAAAAGACGTTAAAATATGGTACTTATTGTTACCCTGCCTGGCGCTCGGCATTAAGTGTTTAAAACAAGGACTGGTCGGCTCGGAGTCAGTATACTGTGTCTGAGTGGGGTATTCATGTTAAACTGCGGCATGGTATAAAATCGGCATTAGTCCGGACTAGTACAAGTGCGCACGCAAGTATGCATGTTGCTATATAAGTG